AGTAAAGTTCCTTCTGGTGAGGGAGGGGTCCAGGTTTCACGTTCCTGAGCCAATTGATTCCCAAAGATAGTGGGACTCTTTTTAAAACCCTGTGGTGACACTGTCCAGGTTAACTGTGTTTTTCTCCCTGTTATCAGGGTTTTCCCATTCAAAAGTAAATAATTTTTGGCTTTCTGTTGCTAAGGCCAGGCAGACTTTACATCCAATACTGTAAACCATACTTGATCTTTCAATTTAGTTAATAAAGTATAAGGATTTTTCAGCACAAGATAAAGGTCAAATCATTAATTGATTTTGTTTATTGAACTTAAATCCCAAATTATTCTACAGCTCTTGCCATTGGATTTCTTTACATATAAGATAGGGGTATTATACTCTGATTCGTATTCAATTAACAGTCCGAGTTGCAAAAATTCATCAATAATTTTTTATCCCTATTCGATCTTCTGCACACAAAGGATATTGTTTAATCCTCACCAGAGAAGCTCCTACTTTTAATTTGAGTTCTATTAATTTGGTATTCTGAGTCTTACCTGGTATTCCAGAAGCCCACACTCCTGGATATACCTGGTCCAAAATTTCACACACAGAATCATCTAGGTTGGAAAGGACCCTGGAGATCATCTAGTCCAACCATTCGCCTAGCACAGTTCCCACCTACAGCATATACTTAAGCTCTAAATTGACCCTACTCTTGAACACCTCCAGGGATAGGGACTCCACCACCTCCCTGGGCAGCCCATTCCAACGCCCAAAAACCCATTCTGTAAAAAAATACTCCCTAATATCTAGTCTGAACTTTCCCTGGAGCAACTTGAGGCCATTCCCTCTTGTCCTGTCACTTTCTACTAGGCTAAAGAGGCTCATCCCCAGCTCTCGGCAGCTTCCTTTCAGGTAGCTGTAGAGGGCCATGAGGTCTCCCCTCAGCCTCCTCTTCTCCAGACTAAACACCCCCAGTTCCCTTAGCTGCTCCTCGTACGACCTGTGTTCCAGACCCTTGACCAGCTTTGTAGCCCTTCTCTGGACATGTTCAAGTAACTCTATGTCCTTTTTGTAGTGAGGGGCCCAAAACTGAACACAGGAATTGAGGTGCGGCCTCACCAGTGCCGAGTACAGGGGCAAGATCCCTTCCCTGTCCCTGCTGGCCACGCTATTGCTGACACAAGCCAGGATGCCATTGGCCTTCTTGGCCACCTGGGCACACTGCTGGCTCCTGTTCAGCCGGCTGTCAATTAGCACTCCCAGGTCCCTCTCTGACTGGCAGCTCTCCAGCCACTCCTCCCCAAGCCTGTAGTGCTGCTGGGGGTTGTTGTGGCTCAAGGGCAGCCCCCGGCACTTGGTCTTATTGAAACTCCTCCAGTTGGCCTCAGCCCATGGCTCCAGCCTGTCCAGGTCTCTCTGCAGAGCCTCCCTACCCTCGAGCAGATCAACACTCCCACCCAACCTCGTGTCATCTGCAAACTGACTGAGGGTGCACTCGATCCCCTCATCTAGATCATCAATAAAGATGTTAAACAGAAGTGGCCCCAAAACCCAGCCCTGGGAGACACCACTTGTGACCGGTCGCCAACTGGATTCAACTCCATTCACCACAACTCTCTGGGCCCGGTCATCCAGACAGATTTTTACCCAGCAAACTGTGTGCAATTGTCCAAGCCTCGAGCAGCCATTTTTCCCAGGAGAATCCTGTGGGAAACGGTGTCAAAAGCCTTGCTAAAGTCAAGGTAAATTACATCCACAGCCTTTCCCTCATCTAATAAGCAGGTCGCCCTGTTGTAAAAGGAGATCAGGTTTGTCAAGCAGGACCTGCCTTTCATAAACCCATGCTGACTGGGCCAGAGCATCTGGTTGTCCCTCATGTTTTGTGTGATGGTACTCAGGATGAGCTGCTCCATCATTTTCCCGGGTACCGAAGTCAAGCTGAGAGGCCTGTCATTTCCCAGATCATCCTTCTGACCCTTCTTATATCTGGGTGTCACACTGGCCAATTTCCAATCTTTTGGGACCTCCCCGGTCAGCCAGGGGAGGTAAATGATAGAAAGTGGCCTGGTGAGCACCCCAGCCAGCTCCTTCAGGTATTCTGCTCTCCTTTTCAGTCTATAACAAAGACAAACTTAAAAATTCGATTACTTGGGCTTCCTTTATTTTGAACTCAATTCCGTCGACACAAAACCCCAATCTTTGCTCCTGGTTGTTCTAACAGGTCTCTCCCTAATAATGGTTTAGGGAATCCAGGCAAATAAAGAAACTTATTTATACCTATTTGTTTTCCTAATTTCTTCTTTATAGGTTGCATAAAGAAAGCCTTTTCAGTCTGGCCAGTTGCTCCATCCACATTACAAAATCTCTGTCCATTAGGTATTAAATGTTGGCTCAGAACAGAGTAAGAGGCTCTCCTTATCCCTGTTCCCTAGCATTATTGTAACCAGTGGATCTGCTCGGGTAGATTTCTCAGGTCCCCGTCATTATATTTCAGCAATCACTTCAGGCTTTATTTTTCTTAGTTTAGGACATTCCTTTCTCCAATGTCCTTGCACTCCACAATAAGCACACTGATCTGACTGCAGCGCTGTTCGGAAACTTCCTCAAGCTCCCACAAGAGGTCCTCCTCTACCTCTGTCTCCAGGGAGCCTCTGAGGTCCCGCTCTTTGTTCTAATGCTGTAACTCTTGCCGTAGCTATAGTTCTACTTATTTTCTTCATCTCTCCGGTCCTTCACTTTTACACATCTTCCTCCAATACTACATGCTGAACAATATCGCTTCAACTTTCCTTGTTACCTCTTTATCCTTTTCTAAAGCCAAGACAAGAGGATCCTGGGGGCCAAATTTATACTGCACTTTTTGCCATTCAGGATGATTTCTTGAGGTGAAAAACATATCTGCATGCATCACCTCATCCCACTTTTCTTCTCATCTTAGGAACAACATCAATTGCAGCAAAATATCATATTTTAAAGTATCATTCCTGAGCCATTTTTCTTCATCCTCTAATTTATACAATGGCCACCACAGATTACAATACTTTATCAAAGTCTTTCCATTAGTTACATGACCTGTGACCATTATATATTCTTCCAATGTTTATTTCTATTCCTCCAACCACAAACCACCTTTACCACGTACAAACAACATTCTCTGTTTTCCCAGGAAGTCTAGACCTGACACTTGGGGCAGTCAATATCCTGCCCAAACTTGACCCAAAGCTTTTGCTCACACCACATTTAAAACAAACAAACGTTTACAATAATTTTCCGGGTGTAACAGACACCACTTGCATTCCCACATTCATTCAAAATTATGTATTAAGATCACAACAGTTATTTATCAATTGCTTCATCCTTCTCTGGCTGTGTCCCTCATGGGATAACAGAACCGAGGATCCAGAACCCGCATTCACATCATACTTATTTTTATGTCTCTCTCACACAAAATCATGCAAATTCAGAATACAAAGCAAGTCAGTAGCTGTTAAACTTTAAAATTTTAAACCATTTATTTCACAAACTTCTGTTTGCTTTTCAGGCAAACAGAGGTATATAGCATATAAAGTTACCAAATACAAACACTTGTTTTACCAAACATTTATTCACTACAAATTCTGAGGAGATGAACAGAGGCACTCAGGGAACTCATCATCATAAGCCACCCCTTTCTAGGAAATCTAATGAATATGTATGATTTGTGTATATGTAAACCGATGTCCCTTGCTAGTTCTTGGAAGCCTTTATGGTGAAGAATCCCCAGGGTGACCCCAGCACTGCTAATGAATACCTGCTTAACAGTAAAAAAACCTTTACTGTTGAGTCAACTTCTCTGTTTCAACAGCTTTGTCTTGATCCGGGGGGGGGGGGGTTCAATATGATCCCAAGAGCAAGATTAAGACATAAATGAGGTCAAATGCTGTACACCCAAAATAGTTTTTATTAATAAAAGTGAAGAGTAGTAGTGATAGGACAGAATGGAAGGAAAAGACAGAAATCAAGCAAGCACCCAGAACAGAGTTGCAAGAATAGTCACCACCATGGATCCAGCAGTGCCCCTTTGGTCCTCAGTCTTCAGTGCTTTGGTGGTGGGCACACACAGAGCAAAGTTTTCTGTTGCATTGTATCAGCTGATTAGCATTATCTGCCCACCTTTATTTTTTCCTCTGGTCCCAATAGGTTTTTGCTGACTTAATGCTTCTTGAGCAATCATTGTCTTCTGGGGTGGAAATGTTCACCTCTTATCAGTTCATTAGCAATGCATGCATGGTGTCTGGTGTACACAACAGAGCCACAAATGGCTACACCATGGACCCAGTGATAAACATTTGGTTTCACTCAGTCCATGTCTCCCCCTCTGAGGCTTATCTAAGGAGTCTGACAGTGCAACTGCAAGGGAGTGGGCAGTGCATCCTTTGATACACTCCTGCTTCCTTAGACTAATCCAAATGCCACAGCTTGTCCTTGAGGTTTGCACAGACAGCTTTGAGACAGTCATTTGACATTTCAGTCTTTCACAAGCTTGCATGAAGTTCTGCAAAACAACCCTCCATGGATGGCTGCAGCTAGAATACAGAGACTATGTAAGTGTCATGTAAGAGCCCTGGGCAACTGACAGATCACTTGCTGCAGCTTTGAATGCTGGCCACCACACATTTTTTAAGTCTTGGCTCAGGTTTATAGAGAATTATTTCACCCTCACCTTCTGGGTTCACTTACTTATATCAGTGCAAGTTTGCTTAGCACTAACAGTTGTCCAGGAGAAGGCATTCCTTTCCCTCCCCCCTCACTCTAAATAAGAAAAGAACTTATTTTATTAGACATTGTGTAAAAAATCAAGACTATAGTGCTTGATTTGGCCTCCTCAACAAAACATTACATGTATTTTTACATGCATCTTTACCCTGAGTTTTGGTATTCTGGGTAAGTTGGCAGGGTCCAGTACAATAATGCAAATGATATTTCAAATTAAGACAAGTATCAACATCTGTCTTACGCACATCTGTTCAATATTCTGCCATTAAGAATTTTGCAGGCTCCTTCAGGTTCAGTGACTGCATAGCAAGTTTCAGCAGATCCTCAGAACTCTCTAGAGCATTAATACACTGGTCAACCTGATTCTGAAGAAAAAGCAAAAAGTACAGATAATTGATGTATTCACATTTTAAAAGTGGTTTATAAACTACCAGTGTTAGAATTCTCTCCATGACTTTACTATGCATTTGTAACAACTTACTACCTTATCAAGGCTATTACTTCTGACACATTGTGTTAACTAGAACTTCACTGTGCTTTGACAAGTGCACAGTGATACATGGCACATCCTCTAATTCAAAGGGGAAAAAGTTGAATAGGTGATTAAGTCTGACTTAAAAGCCAGTTTTCATTTTATGGCCTGTTTCTCTCAACATCAGAATTTCAGAAGCAACGAATGCTTACACCTGTGTGCACTATAATTTCTACATAAAGAACTGCACTTCATCAATGAACTAATACTGTTTAATGTAGCAGTAGCCTTGAAAAAGGAAATTATCTCCAACCAGCTAAGTCTGCTTCTATGTAGCCACTCTCCACCTGTAACCTCTACAGGTAATACCACTTCCTTTCTACCTAATGTTGAGAACATATGTATGCTAGAGACCATGAAGTAGCCTAGAAGAAAGGACCAGAGAAGTACTTACATCACAGACAACATTTACCTTACATTTACTGCATTTCTTGCAACACTACTAAAATCTCACTTTCAGTTGAGATTTAAGATAGCAGCTTAAAACTGCTTCTACTCAGCTGCAGAAATTTACAGATATAGTTACCTGCAGAGTATGAAGTTTCTAAGCCTCTTCTTATCGAATACTGTTGGTCATACACCACTTCATCTTATCCAACACAAAACACAGACCATCAAATTCCTTCTCCAAATCAGTGACTGCATTAGAAGAGCTCACCTGAGAAGGGAATTGAAACTGCTGCAATTTATATTGGAAACAATGCAGACTAGTCTTTCACACTGAAGATCACTGTTTGCCCAAGCATATTTTGCCATGACCACTGCTCCTCACCTTGTCAAAAGGGAAAAAACATTAGGGATGATAGACACTTAAGAAGACTTTACATCATGACACTTAAGACCAAAATCCATGAAAATTCTGATACTCAAACTTGCACAGAACCAACATACTTGGAAACTTTGTTCCATGCCAAAAGGCCTTGATTTCCCTCTCACAATTATATATGGACTGCTAGATGTTTGTAAGGAGGTAGTTAACTAGTTTCATATAAAATGCTTTCATGTGACACCAAAAAACTGCCCTCAAGAAGCCAGCCTAAAGATCAGTTGAATGATATCTATTTCTGCAGTTTACTTGGCTCAGCTTAAACACGAAGCACTTTATGGTTTATTGATAGCTGAAAGGAACCTAAACCTTATCCTAGTGTAGATGCTCTAAAAATTAGCTCTGACTTAAGCCCAACAATTTGCAATTACTGAAAAGAGAAAGAGCAAGAAATTTTGTCTCGATCATCAGGATGGTCTCATTTTTCAGTCTGCAAGCACAGTAGAGGTCTAAAAAAGATACAGACTACTTCCAACTAACAGGAGTTTGAGATCTTGCATCACAATCCAGATTCTCTCTTCCACACAAATCAAATCCTACAATAGCTTTTCACATGAAAACCAAAACTACCATACCTTTCAACTAGAGACAGACAAAAAATAAAATGTTTTTCTATCTGGTTCCAACATGAAGATATATTTTAAATTTGATTCTTATAGCCTATCGCTTACACACTACCAAAACAGTTTCAGACTGACAAAACTAGAAATTTGCTCCCCTCTCAGCTACAACCAATGAGCCTTAATATATATACCTGAACATTTTTCACTGTCTGTTTCAGCACATCAATGAAGTTGTGAATTTCAGTATTTTTCTTCACTAGAAACAATCCTTTGCAGAGACTCCTAGTATTACAAAAACAAATGAGAGAAGTTATAAAAGAACCCTGCAATTTTTTTAACCATCACCATTTCAACTTATATGGAAATTCATCATACACATTTTGGTTGTGGTGAATTCAACTCTTATTCTGATGGGATCAAGAAATACATTTTGTTAGAAAAGAGTATCTAAGGTCTAAAAAGCATTCCACCAAACTAAGCATCTCTAGCTGTTAGTTTAAGATAAATCAAGAGTCTGTTTTATGATACACCACTGTTTCACATGCTCTGCCACACATCATACTGCAACTCCCAAATCTAACCAGATTACCTACTGGCACCACAATCTGCCATCTACAGTTTCTCCAGATGAGAAAGCTAGCATTTGCACACCTAAATAAAGAACCAAGAAAGAAAAAAAAAAAAAAAAAGTAAAAGTTAACCCAAAAGAAAAAATAGCATTTTCTACTGTCAAAAGAATCTAGTGTAAAATAACTAACCTGACAGTTTATTCTATATACAGAATAAAACTGTAACAGTGATTTGTAAATTTATGCCACAGGATGTAATTATTTTGGCAAATAATTTATATCTTCCAATTAAAAGTGACCTCAAAGAGGAAAGTTTACTGCTAGTGGAGAAAGAGAATCAAGGTTATTTCTGTGGTCTACTACTCCAGCTACAAAAAAGCAGGCAAAATCATTAAGCACATCAAAATGAACTTTTAATTAGACTACCAAGCCTAATTTTACTGAATAGCCAGACACATATTCTAAGAATGACAAACACACATCAACGCTTGCTACTTAAAACTAAGTCAAGTATAACTACAGTGCAAAGCGTATCAGCATAAGTAAGTAAAAATAAAGGACAGGGTGAGGAGGTAACTAAGAATCTTCTGTTATTTAATTCATTGATAATAAGTTCAAGAAACAACTGAGTCTAAAATGCTAGATTTGGTTCTTTAAAAAAAAGTAAAACCTGTCTCAATTATAATTAAGACATTATTTATCAGCTGGACTCAAGAGTTTCAAGTTGCTCAGCTTAACATTGTTATTTGACAACATTTAGGAAAACAAAGCATGGGGAGCTAATAAGCACAACTTGAAAACAGCCAGATCACCAAAAATATGTTGCAGAAGTCCCTCACATAAGCAATTTCTTAATAACCACTTACTACTTAGATCACATTTATTTGCTAAAAAGCAAGAAAAATATTTTATCCTTTCACAACATCCACAGCAAACCTCAACACTACGTCCTCCATAAGGAACCTCTCCACTAGTCCTAAGCCATGCTCATACCTGTTTCTTCTGATGCCTTCCTTGGCAGTTTTTAATGAATCTTCAATCACGTATTTATTGGTATGCTGGCCCGTTGCCCATTTGCATTGCATTGTGCTCACAAAGTTAAACCTCTAGCAAAGGAAAGTGAAATTTTACTGCTTTTACCACAGGCCTTGTGATCATAAAGATATAATGGACCAGCTAGCAATGACTGAAATTGGGACTCTGAGGAAGATAAACAAGACCAAATTGGCTTCTTTCAGACACAAAGAGTACAGCAAGTCTTGACCACTTTGTTAAAGAATCTTTTAATTGTTTGGTTAAAACTGAGCATGTTTAAAGACAATTTTGTATACTTCAGAATGGCAGATGAAACACCATTGTCCAACCAGCTATTTCTGCATTCACTACTGACCAGAAACAATTGCTTTTGCATGTCAGACAGCCAACAGTTAAGCCTTAGATCCTATAAACATAACTCAATTTGGATGAACAAGAAAATGCCTAATCCTCTTTCAGCTAGGATTTTAGGGTTTGTTCAGCTGTACCACAGAGGGGAAAAAAAAAAAATCTTCTTGTACATAGTAATGAACAATGGGTTTTGGTTTTATAGCTACATACGGTTAAAGGAAAATATCTACATGTGAGGAATGCTTAGAAAGCCTTTATGCAGCCAAATACATGGCAGCAACTGGAAGACAGAGCTGTCAAATAAGGTTTTCCACTACATCTAAAGTTAAAGTCAGCTGACCAAACAGGGATCACTATGGCTTTAAAAAGTAAGCTACCCATTTCCAAACAGAAATTCCACCAGGTTTGGTCAAATGCAAACAAGATTAGACACCTTCTACAAACAGGTGCAAGAGGCGTAACAATATCCACCAGCAGTAGATAGAATTTTTCTTAAACACCAATGCACAAGCCACCAGAACAGAAAGCGAGTTTTTAGAAATCACTAACATACAATGTTTTCAAATGTAATTTCCCAGTCACTCAATATGTACTAAATTTTTTTTTTCAAACATACAAAGACACATGCCAAAGTCAAAACACTGCATTGTTGCCATGTCTTCCTTTAATGGGAATTTCTCAAAAGTCACTACAACTACATGTAACAAAAAGGGTGTGCTGGAAAAATTACCAATACAAGTAGCAGTTGAGGCTTATATTTTAAGTTACTTCATAAAAGAATTACAACAGCACTCATGCTCACTCATGAATGTATTTCTTAGTATCCTGTTACAAATAATTTAGTTTTCTCTCTGGCTAGCATGTGTTGTGAGGTTAGTGTTAAATTCATTTTCAAAATACCATGGCGTGTTTATTACAGAAGTCATTTTTGCTGCTATCAGTGAGCTTCCTACTGCTTTTATGTCCTATTCTTATTCTCTGAATCTAATACACTCTTTGTATAAAAAATGCATGGCATTCGTAAAGCAACAGTGTGGATGCACAAGGGATGAAGAACATAACAGTTTATCTGTGTTGGGTTTGTGTGTGTGTGTGTGTGTGTGTGTGTTGGTTTAGGCCCTGCCGGGACCGGAGACCATGTTGCTGTTGTCCCTCCCCCACTCTCGGAAAAAGTAGGGCACAAACCCCGGCTTAAAATAAGTCATTTAATACAACAGTGTGATAAACAATCTGAACAACAACAGTAGCAATAACAACAATAAACAGTAATAACAGTAAACAAGACAAAAGATACACAAATACCGCAATGGTTACAGACAGCCCACGCGCCTGCTTCCCGTGACCAAAGCCACAAAGGAAAAACTTCCCGAGCTGCCGAGCTGGACCTGACATCAGCATGGTATGAATAACCCGGCTGGAGATCCCTTCCCTCTCTCTGCTGAGGAAACTTAACCCTATTCTAGCTGAACTAGGACAGTGTGACAGGGTTTTCATAGTGGGGAAGGGGGTCCAGGATTGGGTCCCTGTGAGAAGCTTCTTGAAGGTCCCCTGGCTCTAAGTCAGATCTGCCTCTAGCCAAGGCCAAACCAATTAGGGACAGTGGCTGTGCCTCTGCGATAACATATTTAAGAAGGGGAACCTGAGAAGAGGAGTTGGAGTTGCAAAGGAGATACCTATGCAAACACTGAGGTCAGTAGAAGAAAGGTGTATAGGGAGAGCTATGCCAGAGCAGATAGAGCAGACAGAGCAGAGCAGGTGCAGCCCATGGTGAGAGGGCAGGCGGTCCCCCCTGCAGCCCGTGGAGGTCACCAGTGGAGCAGATGCCCACCTGCAGCCCATGGAGGACCCCACACCAGAGCAGGTGGCTGCACCCAAAGAAGACTGAGAAGCATGTGCTGGAACGGACTGTTACTGGGAGGACCGGAGCTGCAGCACAGATCCATGCTAGAGCAGTTCATGAAGAGCTGCAGCCCATGGGAGGGACTCACATTGGAGAAGGTCATGGAGGATAGTATCCCATGGAAGGGACCTCATGCTGGAGCAGGGGAAGAGTATGAGGGGTCCTCCCCCTGAGAAGGAAGATGCAGCAGAGACATGGGTGATGAACTGACCACAATCCCCATTTCCCAGTACCACAGACTGGGGAGGAGATAGAGAAATCAGGAGAAAAGCTGAGCCTGGAAAGAAGGGAGGGGTAGGGGGAAGGTATTTTTTAAGACGTGGTTGTATTTCTCTCTCACTGTCCTACTTTATTTTGATTGGTAAATTAGTGGTGGTGGTGGTGTTCAAATCACAATGATGTTCTTTTTTTTTTTCTTCCCCAATCATTTATGTCTTTTGCCCCTGACCTTAATGGGTGAGTCATCCCTCCCTATCCTTATACCATTTCCTGAGTCTGTTGTTACATATTCTCCTCCCCATCCCTAAGGGGCAAGGAGTGAGTGAGCAGCTCTGTGGTGCTCAGTTACCCTCTGAGATTAAACCACAACAAATGAAAAAGGATAGGAAGCCCTGAAACATGTGGTGGCTTGTAGTCTTGCCAGAACATGAAAGTAAATAATACACCCTTCTTTGAATAGCTGGTAACTAACATCACATAGCACCTGTTGAAGCAGAAGGGCACCTCATAAAAGTTAAACTTTGATAAAATTAAACAATTATACCAGTTCTATTTAAGAAGAAAGTTATGAACCTGCTCAAGGTCATACTGAAGTCATATGACAGGACTGGATGCAAAACAGTTTCTGAAGCAGCCTTGGGCCTAGAACAAAATCCTCTGTCATACTAACTTTCATATGCAGATTAAATTAATCTTCTGCACATGTCCACACACTGAAGTTGCAAAAGAGTTTGAAGGAGTATTTAAGACAATACAGGCAACAACAACAAATTAGCAGGCAAAGTACTGTAAAATACAGTATCAACTGCAATTTTACTACTGTATTCAGAACCTCTGAAATTCAAATATGATCAAAGACAGCACTTGGGAACATCTACTCAGAGCACCCACAACAGCTGCAGCCCTCATTTACTCCTTCTCTTCGAGACTAATCTCACAAAAAGCAGGCAAAGGCAATCTCAAATTCACATAGTATCTACCAAAGCACACTTTTTAGGCATTTCACAAGTAACAAGTGGTAGCACAATGAATAGTTAACTAAAAAAGCAAACATCTGTTACTTGTAAATTGCAAGCCATTAGTATTTCTAGTTATCCAGATCCTACTGACAAACCAGCTTCTAAGCTAAGGAAAGCAGAGTCTTCACAGCAACAGAAGTCCTCTTGACTGGCAGACTAAAAGCCAAAAGGCTGAGTTTGTAGAAGCTATAATTTTAAGAAAGTCCAGCCCTTAGCCAGGCACATCTCTGCTCCTTCAGTGATTTACCTGAGGGAGCAGATGGCAAGTAAGGGAAGGAGGGAATCAGAGGTCAGCAGCCATAGGAACAAAAAAACCCTAAGAACACTTTTACTAACTAGTGAGGTTTTAGTACCAGTGCTGCTTAGCATCTTTGTTGGAGACATGGACAGTGGGATTAAGTGCACCCTCAGAAAGTTCATGGATGACACCAAGCTGTGTGATGTGGTTGACACACTGAAGGGAAGGGATGTGCCATCCAGAGGAACCTTGACAGGCTGGAGAGGTGGGCCCGTGCAAACCTCATGAAGTTCACACGGGTCAAGGTGATCCCAAGCACAAATACAGGCTGGCAATGAGTGAACTGAAAGCAGCCCTGCAGAAGAGGACTTTGGGGCATTAGTGGATGGAAAACTGACTGTGAGCCAGGAATGTGTGGTCACAACCCAGAAAGTCAACTGTATCCTTGGCTGCATCAACGGAAGTGTAGCTTGCAGGTTAATGGAGGTGATTCTGTCCCTTTACTTCCCTCTTGTGAGACTCCACATGCAGTACTGTGCCCAGCTCCAACGTAAGGAAGACATGGACCTGCTCAAGTGAGTCCAGAGGAGGGCCATGAAGATGATCAGAGGGCTGGAGCACCTCCCCTATCAGAATAGGCTGAGAAAGTTGGGGTTGATGAGCTTGGAGAAAAGAAGGCTCTGGGAGACCTTCTGGTGGTCTTCCAGTACTTAAAGGGGTCCTACAGGAAAGATGGGGAGGGACTCGTTATCGGGGGTATAGTGGTAGGATGAGAGGCAACAGTTTTAAATTGAAAGAAGGTAGATTTAGATTAGATGTAAGGAAGAAATTCTTCACTGTGAGTGTGATGAGACACTGGAACACATTGCCCAGAGAAGTTGTGGCTGCCCCCTCCCTGGCAGTGTTCAGGGCCAGGTTGGACGGGGCTTTGAGTAACCTGATGTAGTGGAAGTGAAATGAGGAGCTAGGAAATTATAATAGGATACAGAAATTAAGCACTCAAGAAATGAAGGTATAACTTCATTTAGAGATAAAGATGGAAGACTTAAGAGATCAGGCTAGGGACTAGACACCTATTAGTTAAAAGATAACTAAGATTAAAATAGGATAATAGATAATAGTTGACGGGCCAGACGGCAGAACAATATGAAAACCTTGATTAATGGAAGCTGTGAGAGAATGCTTCCTGATGGAATAGGAAGACAGCCCTAAAAACTGGTCAAAACCAACCCTATGGTTCAGCCTGAGTCCAGGCTACACAGGCTGTGCAATAAACCGAGATAAAAAGTTCAACAGTGAGGAAGAGGAGCTACTTCACCTCTG